CTTTCTTTGCTGAACAGTCCCTTTCTCCGTTCCTGATATGTTATCTGCTTAGTCCTAATATCTTGTTGAGCTTACATGCCCAGGTATGTCTTGCAGTCCTTTCTTACAAGTTCTTCCCTTGTTTGGGATACATATTCCAGGTCATGTTAGTAGTGTCGATGTGGCAGTGATAATCTAGGGAATACACAAGCAAGATGGGCAAGGTGAATTCATTTTGTCAGAACAACTGCATTGGGCAAAGGTTAGGCAGGCTTTGGGGCCAGATGAGCAAAGGGGCATTTTGTGCCCAAAGTCTGTCTGACATCCCTCCCAACTACATAGTTGGTTCACTTCCAACTATATGTATTGTTAGTCAGATAAAAGTGAGCTTTAGCACCTTTGACTAGAAGAAATTCCAGGCCTCTACTTTGTTCTCTCAGGCCATTTGACTGCATTGATTAGTTTGCTCTTTTAACGTTGAAAACTTTATTTAAAGACTTTTTTATCTTTCCATTTAATTTTAAATTGAATCAACATGTCATCCCATGAAGCAAGATTATTTTCTATGGCTAGCATTTCTATAATGTTCTCTTTTCATAATACAAGACAGCTTAGTCTATTTCCCTGAGTCTTGCCACTGCATGGAAAAGCACAGCACACTTGCTATTTTTTTTCTAGACTTACTGTTTCCTTTCTTTGCACTTATGTTACAGCTGCTCTCAGAAATACTAAAACAGCCTACATACAGCCAGATAGAATTTATCGAAATGATCATGTGTTTCACGTAGTGATTAGACATGGATTCGTACTGAAACTATGCATCAAACACACGCAAATGTCCATCCAAAACTGGATTTCATGATTTGTATCTCTATATATGCAACATACTGAAGCAGCCTTGCAGGAGAGGAAAACCTGATTTAATAGCCTCTGTGTTCTGGTGTTCATTCCATGGGGCTGGTGCCCGATGCTCACTTCAAAAAAGGTGTGACTTATAGAGAAAAGGGCCCAAGTTTTGTAGGTAGCCCAAACTGCCAAGGGGAATGCAGCTAACTGGCAATTCCCTGAAGTGGCTTTTGGGAAACCCCTCTTGTCCTTGGATTCCAGCCTTTATCACTAGCAACCTCCCCAACTCCCTTCAGGGGGAAGTTCATGCTGTTAATTCAGCTCCTGACCTCATTTGTGCTTTTGAGCAAAACATTTCACCTCCCCAGGCCTGACTCTGCATCATTGCCCCACTTTTATGTTGAATGGACTTTACTGAGCTCAGGGATAGTGGATCTGGATCTCTGCTGTCCTGTCTCTCATCATGACTTGATGGAGGAGGGTTTTATACCTCTCTGCACAGATGTAAATGATCTTTGCCAGCTAAAATCTCTCCTAGTGAGAATCCATTGATTTACTTGAAATATTGCCCATTTATATCAGGTGAGAATGTGGCCCAAAGATGCAGTCTACCAGAGAACCGTGCCCAATAATGTACCTGTGTAGCGTGTGTACATACATCAGAGATTCATTAATCAGTGAATGGAGCTGATCTCGTTACTTGTCTCACTGAAGTCAGTCATGCGTCAAGTATAACTTGCGTGAGTGAGGACAGCTGTCCCCCCGCCCCGTCCCACCCGAATCACAAAACGTCACAACAGCAGCAAACATTACAATAATTTTGCACCAGCTCAGAATTTATTATAATACAAACAGGTTTATCAACACAATATATTCTCTACTTATGAAAATATCAATATTCACAATTTTGAGTAGGTGACAGGTCTCATCATTTTATATAGTCAACAGCATATTTAAAAATTACTGTCTTCACGGTGATTTTCAAGGACACATGCTTATGAGTAATTGTCACGCTGTCCATTCACAGCTTTTTTTTTTCTAATTGTAGATATTTGAAAATAAGTTGAATCAAGTATGAGCCTCCTTCTTCCCTACCAAGAATTTTCCATCTCCAGGATATTTTTTTCCTAAATAATGAGACAGCATGTGCTTGCTTAAGTTTTATACTATAGGAAAATTAGGAGGTACGAACAATACAGCAAGACATTGGCTAGTTTAACAACAGTCATTGCAAGATACTTCACAAAACCAAAAAATAAGGCAAGTATTATCAACAGCAGCTCCCATACGGTGGACTAAAAAGGCAAGGCCTTTTTAGTTACCCAAACTGGTCCCCAAAAAGGCTTCAAAATGTTTATTGTTAACAAGTTATGGTCTGATCCAAAGTCCACTGAAGTTAATGGAAAACCTCCCATTGCCTTTGATGTGTTTCAGACCAGCCACATAGAGCCCTAAAATCACCCAAACAGAAATGGCTAATTAAATGCATGTGGAGCTAATACCATGGCATTGCAAAGGTTGATATGAAAATACTAAGGCTTGTTTTTAAAACATTGTCACAATAACCTGATGGAATATCTTTCATTCCAAATCAAATCTTAGGTTGACATATTTTACCTTTAAATATGGCCATTTGTGAAAATATGATGAGGTGGACAAACATGATGTTAAGAAAAGTAATAAATGATGTATATATGGCAAAATACTCCATGTACTAAATTGAAATATTAAAAAACCCTAAACATTCATTTATTTATGTAAGGTTACTAATATATTAAAGTAGAATAGTGAAATTTTTATATAAATAAGTATTATTTTTTAATATTATATACTTTCTCAAAAACAAACCACTTATGCTATATAGGTATATTGCACTTTGACTTGTTCACATGGTAACTCAGACTAGCATTCCTCATAGCAAATTTAAAATTAAAAAAAGATATAAATATAGTGTTTTCCCCAAAACTAAACATATACAGTACCTTTTTTTTTCTAAGGTAAACTTTGGTTAATATCAATTTACAAAGAAAAAGTAGAGAGAGGTTTGGGAGAGCACAAAAAAAATCCAAATTGATAGTAAAAGAGCTTAATAATTTTGCTCTCATTGTAGTTATTAGCTGTTACCAAATATTAAAAGGCCTAGCATTTCTTTATTATTGCGATTCATATTTTACAGACACCGTATTTTGTCAAGATTTACAGTGAAAAAGACCCAGAAAACATTTTTCCCCTTTCTCTCCACATTTCAGAAGATTAAAATTTTTAACTTTGCCATGCTGCGCTGGGGGAGAGGGTCTGCTCTCTGATATCCCCTCCAGATACACCTCTGCCGATCTCGGGGAGAATGATTATATAATACAACAGCATGAAGCAGGACGTGCAGAGTACCCTTCGTTCTCACTGAAGTCAATGACTAAATCATCAGCTGGTACAAAATAAGGCAGCTCCACTGAAGTCATTATAGCTATGCTGGTCCACAGCAGTTGAAAATTGGGCCATAATGTTCCCAATGCTTCAAATTTCAGATTTATCCAAGGGATATTCTCTCTTCAGTGAGACTCCCTCACGTAAATGAAGGGTTTGTTGTATCAGGTGATCTGGGACTCACTCTTCTTTGCCTTGTACTTGGCATTTCCCTGTTCACCTTTCTATTCTACACAGGCACAGATGGCTGTTCAAGGTGTCAGTGGCCAGAGGGCGGTCCCCTCTGCCTAACTTCAATGGGAACCTGTGGGTATTCTGCATTTCTTAGGCCCTTACAATACTGAAGCCACCTCTAGTATGGCAGGCTGTTAGTTTGCCCAACTTCATCCTTGAGGGGGACTCAGTGTTGCTGTTCCACTGAAGCCAATGGGCTTAACTCCCCTCAAGGAGGATCTCATGCCACATTGCTGGGTCCCTAGTCAGCTCACAAAGCGTAACAAAAACTGCATATACACAAACACTGCCAGTGGTGGGCATCCAACCATCTTACTATTATCAGTTGAGAAGCCCCTACATTCACTGCCAAAGTTGTGCTTGTGTTTACCATGCAAGGAAATATGTTCACATTATTTTTAAGGCCTGTGTTAAATGCCCAACAAGTAATTTAAGTGCTACAATGCACACATTGAGACCTCGTACCAAGCACTAAGGAGGAATAACAGCAAATGAAATGTACTCTCAGTCTTCTATAAACATTTTCCCCAAAGTCTTCTACACTTCGTTGCTGATATGCTGCTTCTCAGCATAAAGGAAGAACATTTAAATATTTATCCTATTTAAGATAGCGTAAAGGACCCTATTCAAACATTTTGGGTAGCCTTTGATTTTACTGCTGTGGGGTCTTAAATATGTTTATTCCACAAACAGATTTTTAACTAAACAATCCACTGGCAAACCTGTCATACCATAGACAAGACCTCTCCAAACAATTTTTTTGTATTTTAATGTTTGTAGCTATATAATTTCTAAAGGCCAAAAATTGTGGGAGGGTGAGTATTCTGATTGGCTTCCAAGGGAGGTGAGGGCTTTATACATATCTCACACGATCAGGTCCAGTAGAAACCAGATTTGTCCCCACACTCATGCTTCTGGAGAGACTAATTAAAGTTGCCGTAGAAATGTGCTACTTTCATTCTCAGCTCAGGAACTCTCCTCCCCAGCTCTTCCCATCTGGCCTTTTTAAAGGAAATAACTTAAAACATATAAATATTGGCAGCTTGCAGGATTGCTTTTCATGCCAAGGCTACAAAAGGTGAAATAATCAGTCCTTGAGCCTTGTTCAAATGAGCCTAGAAAGGCTTGTCACAGTTCAGATGTCTTGCAGCTTGCAAGAATGCAGAATGTCCTCAACATGAGAGCCTGTGCGGCAGCATTTCATGTTCAGAAACGACACATGGGTTTCAGGAAAATGCACACGATGCAAGTGGTGCCCTCCCCAGTACAGAAAGCTTTCGGTCATTGTGTCAATAGTGAAGAGAACTAGATGGGCACACAAATTCTGTTACAGTTGTAATTAAACCCCCTTGTGGTTTTTCCCTTAACAACTCCACACTGCACTGGTGCTTGAACATGGAACATTTGATAGCAATTGAACATAAAAACTCATACTCCAAAGCCTATTCAAAATGCTATGTAACAAGCAGAGGCATTTTGCCTTGTTGTTCTTACTCTCCAACTCAAGCACTCCCATTCTCTTCTAACAGTCTGGTCTGCCTCTTAGTGGTGCAAGGAAATGAAATCAAATGACCACTCTTAAAAATAGCCATTTTAGCAATTACATCCTGTAGGTGTAACTGCTTGAAAAGAAGTTGCACCCTGAGAAACCAGTGATCCCCCTTGTCATGGTGATATTTTTATAGGCTTTCCATTCTTATCATACTGGTAAACAAGCATTTTGATGCAGTGAGAATTGGCAGGGGAAATCCAAGGGCTGCTAGTTATTGAAAAGTTATGGTTTGTATAGAACTGCACGGGTTGTTTCTGACACTTAAAGAAAGCTTTTAGTGTTGCAGCTGCCATTGTGCGAAATCTCTTGCTAATAAAACAGTAGAGGAAGAAATTAATTGCAGTGTTCAACAATGCTAGCATATTAGCAATGTCCGACACAATATGTACCAACCAGCTGTTGTTTATAGGTGATACATAGAGGTGATACAATATCATGATTATTCTTGGTGCCCAAAGTATGGCAAAAATAGAAGTTATAGTAAACAAAATGGCTGTCGTTTTCCCTGTGGAGTATCCTCTCAGTCTGAAATTGCATTTTCGTCTGAGCTTGTACACAATGATTGAATTCAGAATGAAGAAAATCGAGCACGGCACTAAGTAAACAGTAAAACAGTGGATCCAGATGAGGACATGATGTACAGATGTGCTTATGTAGTCTTCAATCCAAATATTGGGCCACCAGTAGTAGGGGATGCTGGTCAAAAAGCAGGTGATATAAACGCTTACAATGACTTTTCGAGTACGAGCTGGGTAGGAGACTGTGTGATACTTAAGTGGGTGGCATACTGCTATATATCTATCAATTGTTAGTGGCACAGTAATCCAAATGGATGTATGAATGGAAGAAAATTCCAAGACCTCAATTATTTTGTCCAGTACCTGAGGCATCTGCTTATTCAAGATGAAGTCCTCCATCAAAAAATCGACAAAGACAATGAAGAAGAGTACAAGTATGTCGGCAGCTGCTAGAGCTAGGAGATAGTTATAGGAGGACTTCTGTCTGCGAGCCACCAACTGTGAGAGGATGATGACAGTCAAGATGTTTGCTGTGGAGACAGAAAAGTTTGGTTAGGTTCATCAGAGGCAAAGGGAGCCTTTTGAATACACTTTTTGTGCTGTAGCAACATTTCAAGCACTCTGGAACACAACTAGTTTTATTAAAGTCCAAAAAAAGCGAAAGCAGAAATCTTATGTTGAATCTTTCAACAAGATGCAGCCCTGAAAAGTCCCCATGGGTAATGATCCTTACTGTGGGATCAACTGTGACTTTGATGATGTGCCCACACGGTGGGGGAGATGACCACAAATCCAGACAAGCCGAGTTATGTAACCTTTCATCCTCTGAGCAGGGAAAGGGCAGACCCTTAGCTCCACACCCACCATTGCCCAGGGGCAAAGCACTGGATGGCAATGTACTACTAATACAGGCTACCAGTAACGTATTTTTCACACAGGAAGCAGGTGAGGATCTCTGAGTCGCACACTGCCTCCTGGTACTGGTCCTGTGGCAGATTATGTTTCCTCACTTTTCTTAGGGTTGAATCCTGACCAAGCCCTGTATCAATATGTCAGGCCACTGCCTATATTGAAGGGACAGTGACTGTTGTGTAGTAGAGCTGGCCTTTGGAAGAAAATGTTCTCTTCAATCTTTTTTGATCAAAAATTAATTAACAATATTCACTTTCATAACTGTTTCTATTATTACCCCTAGACCATTTTTGTATTTTTATACTTTTGTTTTTTCACATATCCTTTCCTTCTGTTTCTGTGCTGTTCTCCTCTTCAGTGACGGCATGGAAAGACAGAATAGGGGGGAGGAGAGAAGGAAAGGGACTCGGTTACAGCTTGCTGACCCTGACCCCGTTCACAACCTGTATGTCTGTGTATTTGAACTTGAAGCAGAAGGAGCAGATCTCAAACTGGACATGAGTTGGTTATCTGAACTAATAAGCTTGGGCTGCAGTTCTGAGAAATGAATCCCCTGAATTCTCACTGGGAGCAGGATGTGGTGCTCAATATTTTGCAGGAAGGTCTTAATACTGCCCTGAATTAGGTCTCTGAACAGCTCAGCCTGTACTAACAGGCCTATTTTGCTTGCTTTCCACTTGTGGTCCATATCTGTTTCAACACTCCCAGATTAATCTATTCCCCAACACTTTTTTTGCTTATCCAGAGAGGCTCTCTGCAAATGCAAAACCTTACAGGTTAAGAGTGTATCTGTTGTAGCGTCTAGAGTACTCCCTAGCCGTGAAGGATCCAAGACTGGTTAAACAAATGTTTGCACTTGAGTAAGCACTCTGAAATGCATATGATTTGACTCAACTCGACTAAAAAAATCCCATATGCTTCCTGCAAACTCTATCTGAGGGAGGATTTTGGCAGCAGTTCCCTGGTCATCATGCAGCAAGCCCATTCCCCAAACTGCCAAAAAGGACAACACATTGCTCAAATAACCCACACAGTAAGTCAGGAAAATAACAAAGAGCTGCATAAATACTCTTTC